TGAAGAGACATGCGGACATGGCATAGTTGACCGAAAGAGTCCAAAATCCATAATATCACCATCATATATATAATGACGAAAGTCAAAAGACCCATCTGAAGTATGTTGAGACGATGATGGGGGCAAAATAGAAAAAGGAAAACATCCTCTATAAAATGCACATTACGTAAAATAAATTGACGATGAGTTTCCATGTTCATGGCTTTCCAACCCCGTTGCTGATAGGAATAGCCCAAAAACACACATTTAATGCCACACTCTGCAAATTTATCAGTGCTCTTGGAATACATTTAACATAAACAACCAAATGTTCGAATATGATTATAGGAAGGAACACAACCATACAATAGTTCAAAGGGTGTTTTGCCATCATTGACCATGGAAGGAGTCCGATTAATTAAATAACAAGCAGTTAAAATACACCCCCCAAAACTTTATCGGTAAATTAGCCTGGAACCGCAAAGCATGAGCCACATTTAAAATATGGTGATGCTTTCATTCTACTCTCCCATTTTGTTGTGGAGTACCCACACAAGATGTTTGAAATAAAATTCCATTATTTAGAAAATATGTCCGCAAAGATGAAAATTCAGTACCATTGTCCGCACGAACCTGTAATACCCGAGATTAATTTAAGAGGATTAATAGTACTACTCATACCAACAAGATGCATCTCCTTTTAAGGGAGCTCATCCCCAAGAACTCCAAAGTTAAGCGTGCTTGCACGGGAGTAGTCTTGGGATGGGTGACCCCCTGGGAAGTTTCTCAGGGCGCGCACGAGTGAGGACAAAGTGCGCGGAAAAGGCTAGTGGCGGTTTGTGAGGACAGTACTAGTGGTCTGGAGGGTGTGTTCAAGTAACTACCTCGGACCCTACGGGGCCGGGGTGTTACAAGTGGTGTCAGAGCAACCCTGCGACAGTGTGCTGATCCGTTGGGTATCGGGGGGACACTTAGCAGGGGAAAAGATTCTGGGATTTGATTGAGATTGGTTTATGGGCGCAACGAGGACGTTGCGTTCCTAAGTGGGGGTGATTGTAATACCCGAGATTAATTTAAGAGGATTGATAGTACTACTCATACCAACAAGATGCATCTCCTTTTAAGGGAGCTCATCCCCAAGAACTCCAAAGTTAAGCGTGCTTGCACGGGAGTAGTCTTGGGATGGGTGACCCCCTGAGAAGTTTCTCAGGGTGCGCACGAGTGAGGACAAAGTGCGCGGAAAAGGCTAGTGGCGGATTGTGAGGACAGTACTAGTGGTCTGGAGGGTGTGTTCAAGTAACTACCTCGGACCCTACGGGGCCGGGGTGTTACAGAACCACCTTAACTTGGGTGTGAAATTGTATTTTGACCGCAGAAAAAAAAACGTTCCATAATAGCAGTAACCTCCCTCTTTTCCGCCATTAAATGCACCCAAACAGCTCGAGAATAGTCATCCACTATAGTCAGAAAATAGTGAGCACCACAAGTACTAGGTTCGCGATACGGTCCCCACACATCACAATGAATAAGATCAAATTATGAGAAGCGTGATTCATACTGAGTGGAAAAACATCTCTTGTTTGTTTTGCTCTCAAACAAACATCACAATTCTTATTCAAAGTCTCACTAACATTTTTATTAAAATTTACTGGAAGCAAATGAACCACTCTGGAGGAAGGGTGACCTAACCTCTTGTGCCATAAATCAAACGTACTCATACCCATCATGTGTGAAGCTTGAGCAATTCCGGCCCCACACAGAAAATAGACCTTGCCACGACACTCAACCACTCCAATCAGTGTCTTCAAAGTGAGATCATGTATCACACAACACTTGTTAGTAAATATAACATGGCACATCAGATCCTCAATAAGTCTCCCAACTGAGATTAAATGACATGTTAAACCAAACACAAAAAGAACACGTTCAAGAAATGTTCCAGGCCCTAACTTTTCCCGCCCAATATGTGAGGCCAGGGGCGGATCTACACCCATGGAAGTGGGGGCAGCTGCCCCCAATAACCCTTTACTAATGCTAATGATTCTACTACTAAATACTAACTAATTTATGAATTGCCCCCAATTAAAAAAATATTTTGCCCCCAATAACCCAGATAAAAATAGGAAGACTACAAAAGGGGAAGAACCAAAGAATCGATTTCAGAAAATTGAAACCTTAGAACTAATTAATTTAATAAGAATGGAAGATTGAAAAGAGAATAAACAAGGCTCAAAACGAATCCGCGATGAAATCTGCTTTATTATCTTCTATTCTATAAATTCAAAATTATATTTTTCGTTTTGAGCATCTTGTGCGTTGGTAGAATGGTAGGAGGTATTTTTTCTTATGGAACTTATATTTTTGACATCTATTTATTAATTAAGTTAATTGGTGTTTCTGAATTTAACAATGTAACAAAATGATATATATAATGGCTAGTTCTTAGGTTCATTGTGCTGCTTTGGGCTAGTAGGAGAAGTTTTATTTTTGAATTGAATTTCACTTTGACTTGATTTGTTATATAAGGTTTCTTGTGCATAGATATATAGGACGATTGTTCTTTTATAAAAATTAGGTAGTTCGAAATTCTTATAAAAAATAAGTACAAAAAATATAAAATTACATTTTTTTGTATTGAAATAGTTCAATTAATTTAATACTCAACGCATTAATTACCTTTGGGAATAAATATATGTTTTCCAAACGTTTAATAAAATAAAATGACGTCTTAAATTGTTTAATAATGGAAAAATGTAAATTTAGAGTTTGATGAATCAGTCACTTTTTTGCAAAAAAAACTATTTAGCTATTTTTCATATAATATTACCTCTATTTTCATAAAATATATTTTAAATGCAAGTTTTCATATTCATAAGTTATCAGATTCAAGCAATTCAGTCATTTCAATCAAAATTATATCAAATTCACTACGTTCAAATTTTAGAGTTAAAAATGCGGTTCAACCAATTTTAGTGCTTTATTAATCCGCCCCCAACATCTTATTTTCCTGGATCCGCCACTGTGTGAGGCACATGTAACACTACCATTAGGAAGCGTGACAGGGAAAGAGGATACTGAACAAGCATCAAATAAAACAGTTCGGACACCAGTCATATGATACGATGCTCCTGTGTCAAGCAACCAATTTGTATTTTTGTACCTTTGGGTTTCTCAACATTATCACTTGTGTTGATCTTTTTCACAAAGCTAAAAAAGTTGACACTGCTCGACAGTAAGAGTGGGAAATTGTTTTGGGTCTGCTTCCTCTTTGCTTCCATCCTCTTTATGTCCGCCGCCAAGAGTACCAAAAGCATGGGCTGCGACAGAATTAATTTCCGTCGAACGATTTGTCGTCATGATGATGATGTTAGAAAACAAAAACAAAAGAATATATTTGAAACACACGATTGTATCAAGTGTCAACGCAAGTCTACTTTTCCGGCTCTAATACCATAATCAAACACACAGAGCTTTTGATCTAAGAAGAATATATGAAAGAAAGTGCATATTCCATTTTCTTTCTTGCCGCACTACAAAGGAGAATCCTGACTATATACAAACTACTGTATCTAACTAAGGTAATTAATTTACTCCTTTCCATTAATTACACACATTAGAAATGGAAGGAAAAGGGAAACTAAATATACAGCTAATATAAAATATATACACAATATAATGCGTCCTTTCATTTTTCAATAGCTGAGTGATTATAAATGATCTCAGATCTGTTGTCTGCTTTCAGCCTATTCATATTTTAAATACTCCGTATTTGTTTTGTTTTGTATAGATTGTCAATTGTTAACGAAGCATGAGTGATACTCCATGATCTCAGACTTATTGTTTTTCTGTTTTGCAATTGATACAATTGTTACTATTTTAGTTAGGTTTGAATGACACAACTGCTATGTGATTATAAATGCCATTGAGATTAATCCAGCCAAATGAATTACAAATAACACTTTTATATCCATGATGAAGAAGTGCCTGAAATTTTGATAACACATATCGAGTATTTTAAACAACTCTATTTGATGTATCCCATAATATTACTCGTGAATTTTCTCTATTAAGTGCTCTCATTGATATATGTTTCGCGAGTAGCTAGGTAGAAAAATAATGTTCAACAACAATGACTTATAATCATGATAATAAATTGTATTTCACTTAAATTAATTTTTATACAATTTCCATTGAATTTGAGAGATATTAAATTTTATTTAGCAAATTTCCCTTTTTTAAATTCAACTCCAATTTTACCAAAGGGCTTTTTACAAGAATATTACTAAAATAAAACTTACATAAATATGACTATTCATTACTATAACGTAGTGTTGTGGTAACTTAAGTTCAAAATTTGAACATAAATTACTATGATTTTATTACTATTCAAGTAACAATTCATATTTTTGTAAATCATCTATATTTTGATCATGTAATTATTTCTTTTACCAAATAGGGAATAAAAAGTTAAAAACAACGAGTTATCTTCTTTATTAGGGATAAGGGTCAGATAGGGCCTCGAACTCGAAAAAAAATGTCAAATAAGGTCATATTTCGGATGCTCTGTCTGGCCGACGCCATTTGGGGCGGTTCCCGATGGAATTTTTTGATAAAATTTTTTGAGCATCTTCCTCATTAAGTCTAGTTTACCCATACCAAATTTCAGCTAAAAACTCAACCGGGAAGGTAGTCAAATGAGTTTTTGAAGATAACTGTGAAGTTAAACAACGCCGTACATTTCGGAAACTTATTTGACTACCTTCCCGGTTGAATTTTTAGCTGAAATTTGGTATGGGTAAACTAGACTTAATGAGGAAGATGCTCAAAAAATTTCATCAAAAAATTCCATCGGGAACCGCCCCAAATGGCGTCGGCCAGACAGAGCATCCGAAATATGACCTTATTTGACATTTTTTTTCGAGTTCGAGGCCCTATCTGACCCTTATCCCTCTTTATTATAAACTGTTCGGCTTTTTAGCAGTAAATGATGTGATGCTTTAACGCTATTTCGCCAATGGGCGATTAAATGAACAACAGAGAATATCACCTGTCACTGTCCTATTCTCTTTCAAACTTCTTGATCATTTTGCCGCTTTTGGGAAGCTCAAAAGAAGCCTAAAAGCTCGAAAAGCCACCTCTCGAACTGTCGAAAGAAAGATCCCAAAAGACTCCATTTTTCTGTTCAGGTAAAGCCTCTTTCTTCACATGTGCGTCTATTTGTTACTCATACTCAATGTTTATGTCTTCGTTGTGTGTTTGGATTCCTGATTTCTGAATGTATCTGTAATCAAACGAAATCCCTGTTTTTTCTGCGTATATATATAGTATTGGATTTTTTGCTAGGGTTTTCTTCTTCTTCCTTTTCTGGGTCTGAACTTTTACATATTGTGTTCAGATTTCCCCCTATTATCCGAGGAACTTGATAGACAGTCGTGGAGATAATTTTTACTAAAAATGGCAACGCAGCAAGAATCTGAGACAGCTGAAACCCTAATGGTCTCTTTTACGGAATTATACATTCCAAAAACTCCGGGTTTGGCCCCGAAGCTGGACGGCGCAGGAAATTTTGGCAATGGTTTTCATGATGTGGACTCTGTCCTTGCTGATGGACATGGTCTTACGGTGGAAGCAAATAAGGTCCTCTGCGATGAGATTTCTGAAGGTTCAAGGGAGTCAGCCATGGAGCTTGGAGAAAAGCATACTGACACTGTGGAGACCTCAAAGAAGGGAAATGCTGCAGAGATTGCTCAAAATGAATCCAGTAACTATGAAGGAGAAGGAGCAGAAAAAGAAGCAGGCAATGAGGTTGGCAGAAAAGAGGATAGTGACAACACAGCTGTTTTTGAGCATTGTTATGGTGTAGGTGACTTCATTTGGGGAAAAGTGAAGAGTCGTCCGTGGTGGCCGGGCCGGATTTATAACCCATCAGATGCGTCTGAATTTGCAGTGAGGTACAAGCAGGCAGGCAGGCTTCTTGTGGTTTACTTTGGGGATGGCTCTTTCTCTTGGTGTCTTCCATCAGAGTTGAAACCATTTCACGAGAACTTTGAGGAAATGTCAAAGCAAAGCAATGTGGAAACCTTCACTAATGCCGTGGACAAAGCTCTCGATGAAATGCGTATCTTGCTGGAGTTAGAAATGAACTGCCAATGTGTACCACTTAGTATGCCCATGGCAGTGAATGCTGGAATTAAGCCCGGAGTTCTCATACCACCAAAAGGAGATACTAAGCTTAAGCTTTCACTGCCCTATTTTGAGCCTTGTTTGGTACGTTTCAATTTGAATAACCTTGCACAGACCACCTCTGTTCCTAATAGGATTGAACTTGTCACATTTACTAGCTGGCTGTCTGCTTTCTGTCGTGCAAATCGGGGCCATGGATTATCCTTTTATCGCAAGCCGAGTAATATTGAAGGCCTGGAGGATAAGTCTAGAAATCAGGATGTGGAATTATATGATAGTGTTGTGTCACCTATCCAGGGCCTCTTAGAAGGACAAGAAGTTGTTTACTCCAGAAATGATGGCCCTTATAAGTGCCCAGTGAATGCTGATGACAAGCCTCGTCACCATAGGAATCTGGCAAGTGTATCTCAACTTTTGCATGTGAGCAGTGGGTCAGATTCTCAAAATGAAAGTCACAAGGGAAAAGACTTGCATAATTATTTACCTAAAGCCTTGAAGAAAAGGAAGTCTTTGTCCATTAAATGGAGCGGAAGTTGTGCTCAGGACAGTGTGGATACAGCCAAAGAAGGCCTTATTTCAAGGGAAAGGAAGAAAAGCAAGTATCTGTCACCTCCATATACAAGCATTAGCATGATGAGTGGAAACTCGCGTGCAAAACAAGGATTTGACCTGGAATCTGAATCTGATAAAGAAAATCAGCTGATGCTGCTTCCTGCTCTGTATATGAGTACGCCTACAAGTGAAGTCTTGTCAGAAGTTCAATCCGCTGCTATTAACCCCCACTGTTGGAGAAAGCCTGGCACCCTAGATATGATTAGGGAATTTACGGGTTCTTTTCGGAAGTCTTTTTATGTCAATGAATCAAGTGAGAAGGTGCATAAAAGTAGGCATGCTGGGAGCAAGAGAAACTCATCATCCTCCTTGAAAGAAAATACCAAGGCCAAGTCTGAATATGAGGAGACTGTGTCATTTGGTTCAATCAAACAGAGCCTGAAAATACTGAAGTTTTTGCTAAAAAGGTGTGATGGGAAAATTTTAGAAGAGGAGAAACTTTACTTGGAGGATGAGGTCAAGGTTCTGCTGAAGAAGGTGAGTGCATTGGTTGCAGCCCCATGACAAACGATGGGTATGAGATATTCATATATCACATAGTAGACTAGTAGTACTTTAGAAGTTGTTGTTAACCATTTGGTGCAGGACGGATATTTGAACGACCTTTTTGTGAGCGGCGGAGATTTAATGACTTGTTCCTAGGTTCTTTTGTGGAAGTTCAGAAGGCGGTTTATTTGTGTGGGATGGTAGATTGGTATAAGATGTGGTTACCTAAATGAACTTCCTGATTGACAATTGTAACTAGTTTCACAGAAGCACTTTCGTGCTGCTTAGTAGGAGTAGTTCCTGAAAATTTATTTTGCATGAATCCATTGGGCTTCTATTGCATCTTCTTCCTTGCTCCTGTGAGTGTGAGCTTTTCGCACTTGTAGTCTAACAGTGAACTATTTTCTTTCCAAGCAACTTCTAGAATTTGATCCTTTCTGGGTTTCAAGTAGATGGGGTGATAGAATACAAGTAGGAGTTGCACTTTTGTTAGAAAGGGCAGAGCTTCAATCCGAAGTAAATGGGTTTTATATCTATTTGAATGAGAAATATAGAGAAGTATATTATTCGTCTATTTTTCCTAGTTTATACTCCACACTAAGATCCCAATATGTTTTTTTATAGAAAGAATCACATATAATTAGATTTTAAAGAATAAGTGCTGAATATGCAAAATGCCTCTTATTAGGGTAGGTAGTGTAAAGTACCCATAATGAAGGCAAATCTGAATATGCAAAGAATATAAGCGTGGTAATACTGAAATTGGTTGAATGGCTCAATTTGTTGAAATTGATGAATTGTCAATTGAAGACGCTGAATTGGTTAAATCTTAGAAGTATGATTTTTTTATTTAATATACGGAGTATATATTATCAATAAAAATAAATAAAAATTACATGGAAAAATTAGTTAAAATAATCTTCTACAGTAAATTCAAATGGAAAAGTGAGTCCAAAGTTAGGGGTGGACTCGGGCCGGTCGGCCCGACCCGGGACCGAACCGGCCCGGTCACTGTTTGGCCCGGCCCGGCCCGTGGCCCGGTGGGTCCACCGGTTCGGTTTGGCCCGGCCCGGGTGCTGGGCGGTTCGGGCTCGGGCCCAGGTTTTGGTGAACCGGCCCGGTCGGTTCAGGCCCGGTCCGGGCCGGATTTTAATTTTCTTTTTTTTTTTGAAATTTTTTTAAGTTTTAGGTTGGATTAGGTATTTTGGGCCATTTGAGGTGGTTTGGGATGGTTTGGGGTTGAGGGGGAGGGGTAGGGGATTGAATAGGAGAACAAAAAAAAATTGGGCCGGTTTGGCCCGGCCCGGTTTGGCCCGGCCCGGTTTGGCCCGGCCCAGAACCGGCCACCGGCGGTTCGGGCTCGGGCCTTCCCTTTCTTGGCCCGAGGCCCGGCCGGGCCCAGGCCCGAACCGGCTCGAGTCCAGCCATATCCAAAGTTATTTATTTTTATTATTACACAACATAGCATTCGAAATTAAAATTTGTGTGTTTGGTAAAAAATGGATGATGAAATTGATAAACAGAATATGTGTTTGGTAAAAAAATTGGTCTCTCCTATAAAGACCTTGTTGTGAACTCAAATTGAGGTGAGTACCAATAGTGCCTCATTTATTGGGTATACCAAAAGAAAGTTCATTAGTCCCATAAAAAATTTTCAACTTACCATTTGGACATGTTACAAAAAAAATAATCTTCTCTTCTCATTGCTTGTTATGGAAAGGTTCGTGTGACTAATTTTCATGTACTTTTTTCTTAATCAAACCACAATCATACATTTTTATTTTATTCTTGCTTTCGTAATAGGCTTGCATAATCAATCTGTGAAAAACCTTATGAGACGAAGGAAATATCATTTTAGTACTCCATCCCTCCCACAAAATTTGGCCAAGTTTCACTTGCACATAAAATAATTGTGGTTGATATTTTGTATAATAAGGGACACAAAAACATTAATTGCGTTTTTAGCATTTAAATGGGAATGACAAAGTGTTTTAGGGCAACTAATAAGGAAATTTGATAAAATTCGTGAGATGGAGAGTAACACACAAACTACGAGTGGACCTAGGTCTGGATTTTGGGCCTAGGCAGATAATAAATTGGATTGGACTCCCACATTATTTTATTCAAGACCAGATTGATATTGGGTGTTGGTCGAAATCAGGTTTAATGATATGAGAGCCACACCAGTCAAACATAGGTAACTGTATAATTATTTTGGAATCGTTTGGTAAAATTTGATCAAAAAGCTAGAGTACACTCTTGTCTACACATTTTCCACACCCTATGTAAGGGTCTAGAATTTACCATTTTTTACCCTCCCTTAGTCCATTTTCCTCTCCTCTCATAGGTTATGTCCTTTCTTTCTTTCATCAAATATCTTAATCATTTTTCGTCTTCACCATCTTCCATATCCAACACCTCTCTCATCTTCACCATTTTCATCTTATTCCTCTTCCTTCTTCATTATCTTTCATTCTTCCATTCATTTAATAATTGTGTCAAACTAAAACAAGATATCCAACGTGGGACCAATGTAGTAAAAGATTACTATGAAAGTATGAAGATAGTCCTAGTTGCTTCTCTTTGTTCCACCTTCTTTGCTTCCCGAGAAAGTGTCATTGAGAGTAGCTACATTTGTTACATTTGAATATAAACACACAATGAACATCATTTTACAAAAAAAAAAAATCTAGAATATGTGTGGTTAAAAGTAAAAGCACTTATGTTCCTTAATATAAGACATGATGTTATGTACTCATAATTTCTCCGTTCCAACTACTCTCAATATATAGAAACTATGATTTGTAATTATCATGACAAATTGTTTTGTAATTTAAGAGCTTATATACATTCATTATAGTTGTCATCAATTATAATAAGTTAAATGAGATAAATATTGACGAGAGGTGTAAAGCTGAAAATAATCAAAATTCGATGAGAAACAAATTTACTTTTGAAAATAGAAGGTTGAACTCAAGGGTAAAATTAAAGTAAAAACTCATCCCAACAGAGGCATGAGCATAAGAAGATACAGTCAAAACTAGAGCATCATCTAAAACTTAGTATTGAAGCTGAGGACACCCCGGAATAGACACTTCTAAACCTAGGATCTGTAGTCACATTTGCCTTCTGCGTTGTTGAACAAACATATATTTGCCTTGTCATAACCCTTTTTGTGCTTCTTTCTTGTATTAGACTTTATGAATTCAAGTTAAGTACACAAAAGTTGTGTAAAACTTGTACTAACAACCCCGAAAAATCAGTTTTAAGTTTAAAAAAAAAACTCAAACCCATTCTTCTTGAATGCCTAACTTAATACCAGTTATGAAATGCACAAAATGGTTGAGACCAGGCAAATACACGTGCATTCAACAACGTAGTGGAAAGTGGCGCTTGACATAGAGCTTATGAAGGAGCAATGGGATACTAGAAGGGTCAAAGGGACTACATTATGAACAAAACCTCGCTGATGTTGGTTTGTGGCAATGTATTGGCCTCAGTATGAATGCAAACCAGAATGAGAATGAGAGTGCTTCAACACTTCACTTTGTACGACACTTTCCTTCACGTGATGCCATTTTAGTGAATAGTCCCACGGATTATAAAAACATTTCATGCTTTTAGTAGCGTGTGGTTGCACAAGTGTTTGATCCTATGTCGTTGGCCAGGGGCCCGCCCTGCCTATCACCCGGTGGACGACCAAGCAGAAGTGTCTACACATGGGCATTCTCCCCATCCTCAAGACTGAGTTTAGGATGCCCAAATGATGGGAGTTTATTTTCTAATACTCTTGTCTCTGCGGGCCAAAGATTTAAAAGCAATGGAGGAGATGCTACTTAACTTATCACATATTGAATTTACTTGTGTTATGAGTTTCATATTTAAACACAAACTTTTGGTTGTGTCTTTCCATTGTTTGAACCCAGCCCAAAGGGTTCATCGTGTGATAGACCAATTCTATTTCATGTTGGGGGATTCATTGAACATTTTCTATTTATAACTAGATTGCATACTGAGTTTGTATTGTAGTTTTGTCATTACTTTTGTGAGTTTGTCAAATCAGATTTAATTTAATACTTCGTTTTGACTTGGCGGATTGGAATGTCTCCTACTTGAAATAATTTTTTCTTAAGATTGTCTCTAAAGTTTAAGAGCCCGTTTGGTAGCACGAAAATCGGCTGTTTTGGCTGATTCTGCTGAAATTTATGAAATTCTGGCTGAGGTGGCTGTTTTGGCTGATTCTGCTGATTCAAAAAAAAAATATTTTAAAAATATATTTTATTAATAAATTATAGAAAAAATTACATGTAAAAATAGCTAAAATAGTCCTTTGCAGTAACTTCAGCCAATACAGCCAGAAAAGTAACTTCAACCTTACTTTTTCTGCTTATTACACAATTCAGCACACAAAAGTAAAAGTTACGTGTTTGGTGAAAAAGCTGGCTGATAAGCCGAAAAAAGAGGTCTCCAAACGGGCTCTAAGTTTATAGAACTTTTCATCACAGTGACTAGTGATTCAATATTTTCAAGAATTTCTACAAATCTGAACTGTATACATCAGTATTTTCTTCACAATGACTTCAGTGTCATCATATATAAATATGGCCTTTTCTAGATCTATTGTTGTATATCTCTGAATATGAGACTAGGTTTCATGCTCTGCCATGAATGAGCATAAGACTAGGTTTCATTCCTTACAAGATGGTTTTTGCCTTGACCCTCCCAAGTGCGCTTCTATTGGACCTTTCTTCTTTGAAGTCACTTGTAATAGAATGGTGAACTGCGTTTTTATCAACTTGCAGAAGAATACAACGTATCGGGATCTCAACCTTCAGCAGACAAGAGAACAGAAACAGCCTTTTCAACAAGGAATGGGTGATCATACAAGTAGAGGTTACAGTGTTGCAAAAACTTTGGTTAAGTTGAGCAGTTTGAAGGAATTTGATATAAATGAAAATATGAAGTATATTCTCCTTTTTTATTACTATGTCTGCAAGTTGACAATAAGGGTGTTTTCAGGACAATATTTTCTTCTTATCCTAGCTTTTGAACATTTGCCTTCAATTCTTTTAACCAAACAATGGACGTGATGATTTGTTTAAACGAAAGCCAACAGTTGTTGTCCTTGTCTATGAGTGTGGTCATTCTGAAAAAGTTCATGGAGAAATTTCTGTGCAAAGGGTGAATGATCATTCTGAAACTTGAGTCAAATGTGACTTCAGTAACGTGAGGTCTAATGGAACACATAACCTCATATAACTTAAGTAGGGAGCCCTATGCAATAGTGCCTTGACCATGACTTAAAGTATTGTTATGTGACCAAGAGGTCACGGACTCACGAGTAAAGTCTTAGGAGCAACTTTTATTTATCAAAATGACAATACAAAATTTGCTCCTTATACACCCTTGTGGTGAGACACTCCC